AGAAAGAAAAGGGAAAGAAATCAGCCAAGTGTGGTCATGCAGACCTATAACCCCAGCTACCTGGGAGGTTGAAGCAGAAGGATCACAAGTTTGAGGCTAACCTGGGCAATTTAGCAAAACCATGTTTGAAAAGGGAAAAGGGGGCTGGGATGGATTAGCTGCAGAATATAAAGAAAAAGAGGGATAAAAGGTCACTTCCAAGTGCCTGCCATCTCAGCCCTAGGAAGGGGCACATACTCTCCTGAACTCCAAACAAGCCAGACTGTTCTGTCCCACAAGGGCTGAACTTACCCCAAACTCAGACATACGCTTGTACTGAAACAGTATCTGAACTTGGCATGAAGCCTAAGGGCAGGTTATACCCTGGGCATGGCAGGAAATTGGTATGGGGGTGATTTAGATTATTCCTAAGGATCTTTATTGCCACTGCTAATGACCTGTGACACACATACCTGTTTTTTCTCTCCCCTGCCCCCAGAACTGACCCATGACCTGGAGATGAGAGAGGTCCAGTCTCACCAGCAAGGTAGGAGAAGAACCACTGCAAGGGAAGTGCCGTGGGCCCCAGTAGGTGAATTGCCCAACTCATAGTAGGACCCCACGTTTTCTCCATCCCCAGCCTCAACTAAGGAACAGCAACATCAGCTTGATGAGCAGGGTGCAGACTTCGGTCCACCTCATCCACTCAGCCAGGTGACTGTGTACAGTAACTACCTGCACCAGCACACATGGTCCCCTGTACTGTCCACGTGTCCATCCAAAGTGGGGGAAAAGGAAAGGAGAAAAGAGATTACTCTAGTTTTCCTTCCTCCTTGCCCTCTTCATTCCTTTCTGGGATCCACCTCCCCAGTCTTTCACAACTTTATACAAATCAGTGTCCACATTCTGTAAGATGCTGAGCATCAAGATGTGACATGGTAGCAGTATGGGGTCCTGGGCCTCAAGGCACTCAGCCTAGATGAAGAGAACAGAGATACATTGGCAAGTCTTTCATTTTACCGTAGCATGACGCGCCCCTGTGGCAATTCTTCTAAGACATTTGTTCATAAAGAATTACTTCTCTCTTCTATATAAGGCGATGATGTTCAGTGAGTCTGGACTTTCAGAGGTTTTTTCTTTCTTTTTTTTTTTTTTAGATTCAGTTTCGTAAGATTAGAAAGTTCTAGAAATCAGTGTCAGGGTGTGCCTCGGAGTAGTCAGAAGCTGAGGCAGGAGGATCACTTGTGCTCAGGAGTTTAAGTCAACCTAGGGGGCTGGAGAGATGGCTCAGTGGTCTAAAGCACCTACTTGGAACAAGCTTGGCAAAGCACAGGGACCACGGTTCAATCCCCCAGCACCACATGCCAGCCAGCTGCTCCCCCTGGTGGGCTGAGCTGGCCACACACACACACACACACACACACACACACACACACACACAATAAATAAATGTTAAAAAAAATAAAATAAAATAAAAAAAATAAGGTCAACCTAGGCAACACAGCAAGAGCTTGTCTTTTCTGTTATTACTGACACTGTTTTTAATATAGTTCTATTAGAGCCTAAAGACTTTGTCTTTTCACAGATAATAATGTGGGTCAGGGATAGAACCCAGTGGCACAGGGCCTGCCTAGCAAGCGAGAGAGGTCCCAAGTTCAATTCCTGGTACAAAAAAAAAAAAAAAAGTAAATGTTTTACTTTGTTTTACGTTTATTTGCAAATGCAAACAAGTAAACAACAATACATCTTATTTTATTTTTTTAACTGCAATTAAGACATTCAATTTTTAATGTGGCAGAGCTGGGCATGGTAGCACATGTCTATAGGAGGGCAGCCATGAATTCAAGGCCAGCCTGGGCTACATACATAGTGAATTCACGGTCAGCCTAAACTACATAGTAAGACTCTGACTCAAAATGTGACAGGGAAAACATTCTTGTTGAAATCATAATCACTAAATTATAGGATCTCTGAGAACTTGGATTGGGTGCTAACCATTGTGAAATGCAAAGCACATTACCTGGCTTGAAGGAACTGTAACTGTTTAGCTAAAAATAAATCATAAAGGCGAGCATGTAACTCAGCAGTACAATACTTGCCTAGTATGCACAAGGCCCCCAGTTTGATCTCCAGTACTACACCCCCCACACACACACACATCATAAAAATAGCCATTTTTGCCAGGAGAGGTTTTGGAGGGTGTTTTGTTAAGACAGGATCTCAAGGACAGTTTGGACTACATAGTGAGACCCTGTCTTAAATAAATAAATAAATAAACAAACAAACAAACAGGAAGAGAAAGAATCAGTCTTGTAATGTAGTACAGACTAGCCTTGAACTCACAATCTTCCTGCGTCAGCCTCCCAAGTACTGAGATTACAGGAGTGTGTATCGTGCCTGGCCAGGAGAGTTCTGAAGAATAGATTCCTCGTTCTATTTCCCAGCTTATAGCTTAGAAGCTACAAGACCAAGAACTGGGGATGTGAAGGGTTAGAAGCTTAAGCTAAAACATTAGAAAACTGGCCATGGTGGCATTTGCCTATAATCCCAGAACTCAGGAGGCTGAGGCAGGAGTATCATTGAGAGTTCAAAGCTGGGGCCGGGGAGATGGCTCAGTAGAATAAGCGCTTCCCTGGCAAGCACAAGGGCCTGAGTTCAATTCTTGATTCTGCAAAAAAAAGAGAGAGAGAGAGTTCAAAGCTAACCTGGGCTACATAGTGAGTTTACAGGCAGTCTGAACTGCATAGGAAGAACCTATGGCAAAAATAAATAAATAAAATGTTAGGAAACCTACAGATTGCTTTATGCATATAAAGATCAACTGGGGATCATCTGAACACTTGAACTAATCCTACCCACTTTGTTTGACAACTTCAAACATTCCCTTGATGCTTCAGTGCTGGGAGATGAGATGAAGTGAAAGCAGTTCTGTGACAGCAGCACAGAAGAAATAAATACCCTGAAAGGGTACTGAAGACACTGCCCTGGTGTCAGACACTGCCCTGGTGTCCTGAGTTATGGCGGTGGTGGTTGTTGCTGAGCACTGGGTTAGGCGTTAGGGCTATGGTAGATAAGAAAACGGTCCTCATAAAGCTTACAATGTAGAGGGAGAGGTGTAGCACATAAGCATAAATAAATGTGAGATTGGCACCATAACATGTGCCAAGATGCAGCACATCAGTGCTCTGACTATGTGACAATGTGGCCTGTTGCTGCTGCTGTTCTTGTTCTTCCTCCTCCTCCTCCTCCTCTTCTTCCTTTTTTTTCTCCCCCCAGTACCGGGGATTGAACTCAGGACCCTGTGCTTGTCAGGCAAGCACTTACTCTACTGAGCTATCTCCCCGGCTCCCCCTTCTTCCTTCTCTTCTTCCTCTTCCTCCTCTCCTTCCTCTTCCTCTTCTTTTACTTCCTCTCCCCTGCTTCTTTTTTTCTCTCTCTCCTGCCTTCCCTCTCCTTTGTTTTGTTTTTCTTTTCTTTTTTTTTTTAATTTTTATTTATTTATGTGTGTGTGTGTTTGTGTGTGTGTGTGTGTGTGGCCAGCTCAGCCCGCCTGGGGGCGGGGCTGGCTGGCATGTGGTGCTGGGGGATTGAACCGCGGTCCCTGATGCTTTTGCTAAGCTTGTTCTAAGTAGGTGCTTTAGACCACCGAGCCATCTCACCAGCCCTTCCCTCTCCTTTGGAGACAGGGTCTCACTATGTAGTTCAGGCTGACCTTGAACTCACTGTGTAGTCCAGGCAGAACCACTCCCAGCCAGATCCATCCCCAGAGATTCTGACTCAGTTGGTCCTTGGTAGGACCAGGAAACAGTATTTGTAAAAGCTGTCTGCATAATTCCATTGTATATTCAAGGTTGAGCCCTGCTGCAGTGGCAAAAGCAGACAAGTGAACAGAAAATTTTACCAAATACAGTAAGTGCTCTATGAAGGAAACGAGAGAGAGAGAGAGAGACAGAGAGAGAGAGAGAGAGAGACAGAGAGAGAGAGACAGAGAGACTTTTCCTCTGCATCTCCTCTTTCACGCCTTGCTTTTGCCTTGTCTTCTGACAGGGCTTTTTCAAAAGCTGCTCCCTCCGCCCAAAGCTCTGTTCTCCCGAGGAAGAGCTCCTCATCCTGCAGATCCTCACCCAAGCCTCTTCCCAGAAAGCTTTTCCTGATTAGGCCACATTCCCCTCACACAGTCGGAGCACTGATTTGCTGCTTCTCGACACATGTCATGGTGCCAACCTCACATTTATTTATGCTCATTCACTACACCTCTCCCACTAGGCTGTAAGCTTTACGAGGACCTTTTGATTATCCACCACAGTCCCAACGCCTAACCCAGGGCACATACCCAGGGCTCAGCAAATGAGTTGTGGCCCGAATAAGCAAGCAGTCAGGAAGGATTTTTCGGGTACTGGGGAGATGGCTCAGTAGAATAAGCACTTGCCTGGCAAGCGCAAAGGTCTGAGTTCAATCCCCGAGGATTTTTCCATTTAAACGGAAACCATTGGTGGAGAACCGCATTTGTGGAGAGGCCTGGGAGAAGGTGAGGCAGGTGCTAAGTCCCAGGGGGAAGGAAACGATGGCCCCTGCCGCTGACCGGTGGGGCTGAGGGAGCGCACCCGCAGTCTGAACGTGGGGAGGAGGGCTCGACGGCGTCAGCCACTGAGCGAGGCAGGTGTGTTCCCCGCTGGGCGGGCGCCGTCACCTTTCCCCTCTCGCCCCTTCGCAGAGGAGGCTTCCCGGGAGCTGGAGAGCAAGTGTCGCGCGCTGGAATCGCAGCTGGCGGCGCGGACTGCGGCCAACGCCGAGCTGCGGCGGGAGGTGGCGCAGCGGGAGGCGCTGGTGTCGGCCCTGCGCTGCAGCCTGAGGTCCGAGGAGCGCCGCTTCCTGGAGGAGCTGCGTCGCCGCAGCCACCGTGCCACAGTCCTGGGCACCGAGCTACAGAAGCACACGGAAGCGGCCGCCTACCTGTCCTGCCAGCTGCACGCAGCGCGACAGAGACTGCAGGCCCCGCGCCCGAGCTCTGGGGCCACCGCCACCGCCGAAGCCAGACCCCGCCGGCGCGCACAGCGGGCCCGCCGTCCCCCGGAGGCCGCCGCCAAGGGCCCCAGCCGGGACTGGGCCTCCTGGGACCGCGCAGCCGGCGGCCTGGACGACATCGACCCCATGCCCGACCCTGCGCTCTTCCTCCACGCCCGGAGGCCCCCTCGGCCCAGTGCCCGCGGCCCGCGCCAGCCGCCGCCCCAAGAGCCCCCGGACCAGAGCGGCGCGCAACCCAACGCGCCCAGCCCGCCAGGCACACTCGGCGACCCAGAGTAGGCGCGGGGCTCCGGGCACCCTGCAGGGTGGTCCCGGGGACTGAGGCCACCCGTCCCGGGACCCCAGCCCCTCGAGCCACCCCGCCTTTTGTATTTCCCAACGTTTCCGAAGCTTCGAGCTCTCCCCTCCCACGAGGCAGCTCCTCCGAGAAGGCTGAGCCGTTGCACCTTTTTTGTGGAGAACTCGCAGTACTGATCCTGACCTGGTCCCTGCCTGGCCACTGGGTGGGGGGCGGCGGGGATCATGCTCTGCCTTGGGAAAGCTGACAATCCTTTGGGAAGGAGAAAGGCTAGCCTACTGGAAGGAATGCAGAGCGCAGCTGGCACCCCTAAGCTTCCAGCTTTCCTGCCTTGCCTTCCTCCCCGGAAGAGGCCCCAACTCTGGCTGGTTCTTTACTCGGGTAACGCTGTTCCCACCCCTCCCTCTTCCCATCGAAATCCTTGCAGGTGAGCACAGAACACTTTAGAGATCCTGTCCTCCCAGAGCCCCTGGTGGGGCAACTGTAGCTTGATGGAAGTTGAACTTCTGGACCAGTAAGATTATAGAATGGCTTTGGTGGCAGGATATGACCTGGTCTAGAGCTGTCTGTGCCCAACTCAGCTCCCGGCTCTGCCACAGGGGTGGGGGAACACTCGCTGTCCTGGGGCAGTGACATGGGATGGAGGCTTGTGGAAGGGCAAGGACTGCCTTTCCCCTCCTAGAGGCTGACCTGGGGGGTCTGCCTCCTCCGGTTATTGGTGCTAATCTTGCCCAGCTTCCTAAGCAGCTGGGTGCACCCCAAAGCTGAAAGGAGGACTTGGCTTCTTGGAAGTGGCGGCTGTTGGTAAAGTTTAGATTTGCTAAGCAGCAGGGAATAGGCAGGAGACAAGTTAGTCTCCAGCCTGGCCCCCTCTAGGGATGGCCCTAAGTCTATCCAAACCTGATAGTGGCAGGGTGCTCCTATGCTCCCTGTTTTGATTGGGGAATAGTGAAACAAAAAGTAGAATCCAACACACACATACACTCACACTCACCCCCTTTTCCTCCAGCGCTCCACACTACCAAAGGCAAAAAGTACAGCTTCAGCCCAGCTCATTGCCTTTACCCAAGCCCAACCTATAAACAGTCCCCAGAGTCCTCATGCCATCCCTCCTGGGTTGGTCCTTCACCAAGTCCAAGTCCTAAGTGCCTGTGAGGTCTTCCAGGGGGTGCCCAGGGAGGACACTTCCTTCATTCAGACATCTAGTCCATGGCAGCTCCTAATCTTGGCAGAGGCTGAACATTCTGTATGTCACCAGGATTCTGGGAGAAGAGTCAGGTCTCTAGAGATGACAAACTTTTCCTATCATGGCCCCCAGAGAGGAAATCCCTGATCCATGTCCTCTTTTGTGCTACATTAGAGGGAGCAGAAACACAATAAAAACCAGAAAACTGAGCTTACTCCCAGCCTAGCCAGACATGCAGCCCTCTCCCACTGACCCCATCCAGAACTGCTTAAGGCTGCCAAGTAGTAAGCAGGCTGGCTGTCCTGCTCCTGGGAGTCAGGTATTGGAGGTGGAGCTGGGGGTCCTTGTTCTGTCTGCCCCCTACCTCTGCTCTCCCCCATCCCCATGCTGGCCCTGCCATCAGTCTCCACTGCAGTGTGTGTACTCACTGCTCTGTGCTGCCAACCTCGCTATCAGAACCTGCTGTGTTAGGATCTTACTCTCTTGGAGGATTGTGGGAAGGAGGGGACAGGATTCTTGCTGGAAGAACCCACACAGACTTCATCTTTTACAACTACATTTGGGGTGAACAGGGTGATTTTGTTACACTGATTCTTCTACAGAGATGGTGAAGTCTTTTGTCCACCCCCCACCTCCCACCCACTAAAAGCCATAGTGCCCACCCGGCCTCCATCAAAGCTCTATAGCAATAGCCCTCTTCCCCTTCCCTCCTAGGTACCCAGGGTTTCCAACTAGGAGAGGCCCCACCTCAGCCCTAGGGGTCCTGTTGTGGCCTGCCTGCCTCTCCCCAAGTGACCCCACCAACATCTCCCAAATTCTGTCCCTCTTCCAGCAACCAGTGATGAGACTTGTTTGTGAGGTTCTTGGAGATCCCCTAGATGAAAAGTTCTAAGTGCCAGGGTGGCTGGGAAAGGAAGTAAGGGAACCTTGCCCCACCAAGGGGGATGATGGGGAGGCCAAGGCAGATACAGGGTTCTAATTTTAGCAGAAATTCCATCCAGGCTGTCATGGTACCACACAACTGTAATCCCGGCACTTGGGAGGCTGAGGCAGGAGGTTTGCTGTGAGTTCCAGACCAGCCTGGGCTATAAAGTGAGTTCAAGGCCAGCCTGAACTGCATAGTAAAACCTTGTCTCAAAAAGACCAAAAAAAAAAAAGAAAAAAGAAATTCCTTTTTTCCCCAGCTTCTCCTGGAAGTAGTGGATTAGAGATTCCTTGCACCTGCCTGCAGGCAGAACCTCAGCCTAGGCTGGAATAGGCCTTGCCCTCAGCTTCAGCCCCAGCCATTCCAATGCCAGGCTTAGGGGAGCCACTGGCCGAAAGACAGCCACCCAACTCAGTCCCTGGAAAGTCCAGGTGACTGAGAAAGGAAGGACTGTTTCTTCTCTGCTGCACACATTTCCACTGTGGAAGAGAAAGTGTTGACAGGATATACAGAGTACTTCGGTGAGGCTCCTACTGCACTTCGAGTGTGGACAGACCCAGGAGGGAGAGTTGTGGATGGTGCCCCCTGCACATTCTGGAAGCCAGCTAGGGACCAGGGGGCAAAGCACCAGGAAGCACCAGCGCTCTCCTCCCACATCCCTTCTGCCATGACCTGCACTTTGGGAGACCAGTCCAGGACCAAAAGGAGGCAGTCTCCTGCACACAGGCAGCAAGATAGATTCCTCCCTGGTGGTGAGGAAATAGGCCAGAGGATAAGGAGCAAGCTCCTCACTTTAGGAGGAGCTCAGGGGCCCCTGAGCACACTCTCACTGACGTGCCAGCCGCGGATGGGGTAGCATGCAGGGCAGAGGGATCCTGCTCCAAATTCTCTGTTGGCTGCGCTTTTTAATCCAATGCTTTTCAAAGTGTATTCACTCACCCACAGAAATAGAGCCTTGTGCTTTAGGGGTGACTGTCATATGCCTTATTCTTAATAAAATATTTGAAAAACATGCAAGTCAACTCTTCCTGTGGGCATGGCTCCCCACATCTGTTCCCACAGGTAGGGGGAGAGGATGTGGAAGAAGTTAAGAGAGGTACAGGGTGGGGGGCTATAGCTCAGTGGTGCAGTGCCTTCCTGGTAAGCACAAGGACATGAATTCAATTCCCAGTAAGGAGTGGTGTGATGTGGCGTGGTATGCGAGCTAGCCTGTAGTCTGCTGGATATCATGATCCAATAAGACAAGATTCATTCCATGTTTTCTCTTCCCCTCCCACTTCCCTCCTCTTCCTTTCCCTGGAGATAGAATTAAACCAAACAAAAGCCTTCCTCCTGAGTTAGATCCCTGGCCTTGATTTTTTTTTTTTTTTTAATGTATTTAGTACAGGGTCTTACTACACAGATCAGACTCATAGTGATCTTCCTATTGTCAGCCTTCCAAGCACTGGGATTATAGGTGTGTGCTATCATGCCCAGCCTCGGTTGCCCTCTCAGCATGCCCCCAGAACAGGACCAGCACAGCACCCTGGGAATCGAATCCCAGTCCCTGAGTCTGCCTAAGCAGGCACTTTAATCCACTGAGCTATCTGGCCAGCTGTCTGGCCCTTTATTTTTTAATTTTGAGAAAAGGTTTTGTGAAATTGTCCAAAGTAGGCTCAGTCTTTGTCTTTTTGAAACAGGGTCTCACCATGTAGTTCAAGCTGGCCTGGAGCTCACTTCATAGCCCAGGCTGGTCTCAAACTTGCCGCGATCCTCCTGCCACAACCTTCCAAGTGCTAGGGTTACATTACAGGCATGTACCACCATGCCTATCATAGGTTCAAATTTGTAATCCTCTTGTCTCAGCCTCCCAAAATGCTGGGATTACAGGAATTTCCATCACCACATCCAGTCCTCGTTCTCAGCCTGCTCTGCTCCATGCCACCCTAATCCAAATGAGCAAACAAAATCTTAAGGTCTCCTGATTAGGCTAGAGAGTAATAAACTGGAAGGACCCCATGCTAGAAATTGTCCACTGTTCTGGCCTAAAAGGAATCATGAGATTCTGGCATCTTTGACCATGTTAGTTCCTTGTCCCTGTCTGATCTGAGCTACAAAAATCCTAGCATGTGGTTGGGCCTGGTGGCTCACTCGTAATCCCAGCATTAGGCTAGTCTGGGCTACATTGAGACCCGGTATGCTCCAGCATACTCATGATGAACCTTTTCTTATCCCCTACTAGTGAGAGTTATCTTGGGACTGGAGCTTTAGGCACCCACTACACCTAGCACCCACCCAGCACAAGAATTCAAAAGAGAATGTTTTCAGTGCAGGTCTCGATTGTGGATGACCCTGTGTCCTGAGAATGCAGGGGACACACTGGTTTTGCATGCTACTCTTCTGATAAGAGGACCTGTCTGCCTTATGCCCCTCTCAGTCCATGTTTTAGAGTGCTGACTGTGTCCAGGGGACACAGGTAAAGTAAGTCACCTTGACTGGGTGGAAGATGAGCACAGGACTCAGTCTGAACCAATGAGAGTCTATCATATAGGACTTTTCTGGAACCAATCATTCAACTGTGGATGCCAACCCAAGTGTGGTGGCTCATGCCTGAAATCCCAGCACTCAGCAGGCTTAGCAAGGAAGATCACCAAAAGTCTGAGGCCAACCTGGGCTACAAAGTGAGTTCAATGCTGACCTGGACTATATAGTGAAACCCTGTCTCAAAGAGACCAAATTAAAAAAAAAATCAACTCTGGATGACAAGTGCTAGTATGTCATTGGTGAACGGGCCTACTGACAAGGACAAACTCTTGGGTTTAAAGAGGACAATATCAGCTTGAAGTTCTAGCTGGAGTTATATTTCCACAAGAGATAAGGCTGCCAGAATATAAACTA